AGTAAACTTGATAAATTATTCAAATATCCATTAGAATGAAGAATTAGTTTGTTTCAGCATCTTATTAACTCTATCATCTGTAAAAAAATGTCTTCTTGTCAAAAATTAAAATAATTTATTTCTGTATTTTTTAATAGTATTGTATTTTGATGATTATAAGACGCATGGTTTTGCTATAACATATCTCAAAGAAACCGCCCTGCGTCCTTTAAACTGAAGGTGGGCGACAGGAGTTATCGGTTTGTGGTGTGTTACCTCCGATTCTGAGCGTTTCAAAGTAAAATGTCCAGTGTTGCAAAATTAAATTAACAACGTTTTGAGAGAAACTATTTATGCAGTTGGGATACTGAGTTATTGACAGGAAACGAAATTCCTTCTGCAGTAACATCTGCTTAAGTAACACCTAATAAGTTTAGGTCTCAGTGGTATTATGCCCTTTAACTTCTCTTGTAATTATTACATTACAAATAGTTACCATAAATTTGGTACTTCTACTTGGTCAGTGATGAATTTGTCATGATTAGTCAGGTTTTATGCTATTCAGTTGGTAAAATTGATACATAGTGAAGAGGGCTATGAAATACAAGAAAAAAACTTTTTTTCCCGATTTCTTCCTTCAAAATTTGGTCTAATGCATCTATCTATATTTCTGAGATGAGGTATTATGTACACTATTTACATTATTCGGACTATTGTCCTCATCTTTGTCGCCATATTTATTACAAAGTTTCGGCCCTTTAGTATCTGTCTATATTTCTGAGATGAGGTATTATATACATTGTTTACATTATTCGGACTATTGTCCTCATCTTTGACGCCATATTTATTACAACGTTTTCGACCTTTAGTATATGTCCATATTTCTGAGATGAGGTATTTTGTACACTATTTACATTATTCGGACTTTGTCCTCACCTCTGTCGCCATATTTATTACAACGTTTTCGCCCTTCAGTATCTGTCTATATTTCTGAGATAAGATATTATGTACATTATTAAATTATTCGGACTATTGTCCTCATCTTTGTCGCCATATTTATTACAACGCTTCGGACCTTTAGTATCTGTCTATATTTCTGAGATGAGGTATTATGTACATTATTTACATTATTCGGACTATTGTCCTCACCCGTGTCGCCATCTTTATTACAATGTTTTCGCCCTTCTGCATCTGTCTATATTTCTGAGATGAGATATTATGTACATTATTTACAATATTTGGACTACTATCCTCATCTTTGTCGCTATATTTATTACAACGTTTCGGCCCTTAAGTATCTGTCTATATTTCTGAGATGAGGTATTATGTACATTTTTTTTTATATTAATTGGACTATTGTCCTCATCTTTGTCGCAATATTTATTACAACGTTTCGTCCGTTGTACGCTCCGGCCTTCTTCAGGTGGTTGGAATGTTGAACTGAACCCTTTATTTTGCTCACTGGGGTAGACTGTTCTAGTTCCATGTGCCATGTTTAAGGGATGTCAGTTATCAGTTATCTCCTGTCTGTTTCCTTCTGAAAGTACTCCACTGCCTTAACCGGGTATTGAACTCACACTCTTTAGGTCCTGTTACTGGATCTAACTAACGCCTTTATCCACTGTGCCATGTGTTCTTGGTCTAATGCATCGAAACGTCTCATAAGCAGTGAAATAGGTATACTTTTTTCTCTTGATTAAATGGCTAAACGTTTATTTTCTATTGTTTCGGATTCAGACTTCAAAGTAAAACTGAAAATGTATATAAATTGTGTATATGTGGCTTCATCTAACCAGGGCATCTATCTAAGTGAGTTGATTCACACAAATATCATTATGTCCTACTTAACTGAAATCTACGATTTCATACTTAGTACTCTTTTCGTTTTTTCTTATTAACAAACGGTACTGATCGGTAGTATGTTTCGACCTTCATCGGATCTGTATTTTATTCGATCTTCAGAAGAAGGTAAGTAAATTTATTCCTCATTTTCGTCTCCTCACTCCGAATATAAGAAATCCAACAGAATCGCAGGGTGGATTATTAATTGTGCTCAGGTGTCATACAATGTCCCTTACTTGGTCCTAGCCTCTTTCTTCTTTATATTTATGATCTACATTCTCAGATCGTTAGTAAATATCTATACAGTCACAGTCTATGGGTTCATCCGACCCCCCCCTCCGCCCAAATCTAGATGATCAGAGTCTGGCAACTGATCTATCATCTCACCGAGCTCTGACAGCTCAATGGAGAAAGAAAAAACTGGCTTGTAATTTTCAATATTTCAAAAACCAGGCTAATAACTCTATTACAGAATTGACCCTAAATTCTCGCCGGTCACGATGAATCGTTGCACTCTCAAAGACTCTCCGTGCTTTGAACGTCTGTTACGACTCAAATTTACACCAGACGTCAAGTGGGACTCATATATACGACTAATTGCTATAGAATCTAGAAAGATAGCTACTTATGCTGCTCCGGGACTTACCAGATTCCACGAGCCAGATTAGAACCAAAACGGAGTATTGCTGTCATAACTGGTTTCGGGGCTGCCCTAACCTCTCTTTCCATCTTTGACAGAGTACAAAATAGTTTACACGGCCTTGCAGCTTATGAATTATTTCCAACCCTAGGACCTCTTTCCCGTAGACGAAACACCGCACCCTTTCGCTACACTATCGCTCTTTCCATGAAAAATGTTCAGACGAATAACATTCACTCGTTCCACTAATTCAGACTTTGGAATGTCAAAGCCGCCATGCCGTGTACACAGATGAGAACGATCCTCATTTATTTCGTATTCCATTAGTAAGAATAAAGTTCTGTTCGTACACATTCTTCCCAAGAACCGACGCTTTGCGGAAAAGACTTCCACGTCGACGCTTTCCTGACCACTAGAATCATAATCTTTTCATTTCAAAGCTCAACTGTTTTATAATCTACAGTTCTTACAAACGACCCCAACCATGAACAAGCAGATGGTGCCTACAACAGATCTCAATGGTTGAACCAGCGGATGAAGAGAACTACGCATAACGGACATGATACAGAAGGCGTCACTCGAAATTATAACAGAATCAGCGGCAGCCCGTTGCTGTTTCAAAACTGGATTCTCCATGTCTAATTCCATATGTGCCGCAGAGGAAGGTCATGAAATCAAGTGTGTGGGTCACTTTCTGGCAAGTTGAGGTCCGCTTTAAATAAACCCTGCCATCGGCACTTTCTTCCACTCTGATTTTCTTTCACCTCTAACCAACTATTGCAAAGCCAAATGGCGATAGGGAATGGATGACGGGAGCAGGTTTTGATGAAACTGGAAGCTTCTAGTCCTGAACCTGCACGTTGACAGCGAATTTAGCCATCAAAGCCATTATCATAAAGGAAGCGATCAGCAAAGAAGAAATTAAATTCTTGGATGCGAGATAAAACTGCGACATCCCCACAAAGAGTTTAGAGTCTTCAGGGCCTCGTGTTAAATGAAGAATATCGTAGAAAGATGACTAGAAAAACATAGTCTTCTTATATAAAAGTATCGGGCCTCTTATTAGTTTTTGCCGTAGGGAACATTATCGAGTTCACTCTACTAGATTTTGTTCAAATAGTCTTATATTTACAATAGAAATTTAAGGAATATATCAACCGAAAATTTGAAAGAATAATTAATCGAAATGCTGTGTCAAAGACAATAAAACTAAATCAATAGCATCTCGACTTCAGTCACTTTCTCACAGATGTGACGTGGCCTCCTTCTGTCATTTCTACAAATAACAGCATTATTGAGTAACATTTTTCCTTGGTGCCCCGACTGCATGAATTTAAGCTTGCTACTAGAATGTCATCTAGATCTCATCCATTTAACATTGAAATAGCTAAATGCAACCGCCACTTCTACTCCAGCAATTTCGTTTCTCGCTCTTCCATCGCGTGGAACACCCATCCGTTTACTTGCTTCCCTGATAACTACAATCGTTAAAAAAATTAATTCAACGTCAATCCCGTTTATCTTTTATCCTTTCTTCAATCCCCCCTGTAATCAGTCTTTTCTCTCACTTTCACTCCCTGTAATCTCCTGCGTTTCTGTCTTGATTAGGATGAAATGACAAATACAAAAATGTAGCACGATGGAGTGATGGATAGCGACTCGGGTTGAGGAATCGGAGTTCGAATTCCAGTCTAATCCATTACATCTATTTACGTACTAATACCCTTGGGAAAGGTATGAATCCCCACTTCTCACCCCCCCCTAGCTACGTGTAAATAGCAGGACGGACCGGGTTCTATAGCCTTGGATGGCAACTGGCCTACCGCAGAAAGAGATGGCTACCTACTGCGGGAAAAAAATCTACCTTGTCAGTCATGTATCGAAAGATACATGATCGCTTAAGCGTGCATCACGCATGGCACATGACTGTTAATCTAAGAGCAACACAACAGAGGACGGTTGAAAATAGGAAGGCAAAAGTTAGCAAAATTTATAAGAGAACGAAACCATGTAATCTGAACAGTTAGATAACAATAATGAATTGTGACCTGATAGTTTCTATTAAGAAGTGTAATTTTATACCGAAATAAACATCCATGATGTTTTTTGTTTTTTTTTATAAAGGTTAGTGCTTATTATCAATTTTTCGCAGATATAAAATAAATCATAAATTTACATTAAAAAATTGTATATTTTTAGAATTGGAAAGAAAAAAGTGTTTAATTAAAAGTAATAATAAATCAAGTTGAAAGTTAACTCCAGACGAGAGGCCCAATCCCAATCATTGTTTGCTGTTTTTATTTAAATCGTGACAAAAGCTAAAATATTGGTGAAATCAACGAACTTTCCATCAGAGTAGCCTCTCCAATCTCAGCTCAGTTAGGTCTTGCATCTATCAGCATTAAAATCATTGATAAAAAGAAATCAGAATGATTGCAATAAATATGTTTACCCATTTATATATGTATATACGTACACATTTAAGTAGGCATTTACTAAGGTCACCAAATAATTCTATACCATCTAATAAAAAAAGAATATGCACTTTTTCCATTGGCCTCCTTCATTTTTCCTCAAATATGCCACTATTGCCAAAGTTGCTGGAGAAATGGTTTGTTCATTATACTGCTATACGGAGTACTGCTGACATATCTGGGATGGAGCTGTCTAGTCCTCACTTCCTTGCCTCAAACGTCTACGCAGCCTTGTGAGTGATGAGTTACTTTCCATTCCACCGCCATTTTCTTACAGATGAAACGTCGCGAACCTCTTGCAGTCCTATCACTATTTCCAAGACATGTTTTCTGATTCCTTAGTCTCATTAACCATGACATTTACACCTGGGACCCATCATGCCAAAAACAGAATTTCCCTTTGCATTCCTATATCAAAAAGTAAGTTCTATTCTGACAGCTTCTTTCCAAGAAGTGTTGCTTTGTGGAACAGACTCCCGGGGGAATATTTTCCCAATCACTATCATGACCTCTTCAAGCTCATCTTCCATTATCTTTCCTGTATAGAGCAAGGAACTTCACTTTTTGCCTTACAGTGGCACTGATTGAACCGATGCGCCTTGTATTGCATGAACATTAGTATAAAAATAGATTGAATTTCCCACAATATTAGAAAAGTCTATCCTTTGATTACGCAGATACAAAGTCATAAATTCGTGACCTATTCACATTTTACTGTAGTCCTTTGAAAAACAAATGTTTTCACAATCAAATATTTTGGTAAAATTTGACTTTACCAAAAGATTGAAACTTATACATATTTCTGTTTCATTCGCTACTACCAGAAATATAGAATACACTTCCTTTACAAACAAGTTACCTTGTTACATTCCTCCTTTAACCAAGAGTGAAATGTGTCCTCTATCAAATATTTCACTTCAGGCAAGAGTCAACAGAAAAGTTAATATAAGTTCGGATCGATCATGCTTTCCATACTTCAAAACAGATACAATGTCGTAAAAAACAAAACAAAACAAAAAAAAAACAACATAAAAATGTCCTTTAAGGGTTCATCCCTTCCTTTTTTTTAAATGTTCACTTTAATCCTTTATTTATCCTCTTGGTGTTATCTTCCGGTACAAATTTCACAGGTACTTCCGCTCTCATGTTGTTCTCTACAACACGAAAAGAGGGTCCCTATCGCATTCAACTGCTCTTCCAGCTCAGTATTAGATAACTTTCGAGTTTCCCTTTGGGCTCGAATTATTTCCTTCGTAATCCCATACCATTTATCTAATCGTCTCATTTTACATTTTATGATTACCAATGCCATTAACATGATTAAATAATTATCAGTATTGATGTCAATTAATAGCGTTGCAACGTACTCTTCTCCCTTGAGTTCCTCTGGAAATTTTGGTCTTGATAATATCTCTTAATTTTTCTGCTAGACTTTTCAAACTAGTTTTCTTCATGGTTCTAATAAATTAGGAATCTCATAGGAATCTCTTTTTGTTATGGGACCTTACCCATAATAACATAATGGACTATTCCATACGTAATAAATAGTGCGCCTCAAGAGGAAGCAGGGAGTTCAGCCCGAAGTCGGACGACCGGCTGAGCGGCTGAGCGGTTGAACTCTCTGCCTTCAGATCCCACGTTAAACAGGCCTTGTGCCATATGATGCCTTCATGGGGAGGCTGACTAAATACCGTTCAGTCTGAAGTCGGGCGACCGGCTGACTGGCTGATCGGTTGAACTCTCTTCCTTCAGGCGGGGAGGAACCCAAATGAGGCTACGCCGAAGGGCGGAGTCTCTTTCGGGGAGGTAAACAGACCCTAAACCCGTTTATACGAGTTCAAAGGGCATATTTTTGGCCGAGCCCATGGACTCGGAAATTCCATGTTAAACTGGCCTTGTGCCACATGATGCCCTTGTGGGGGGTAACTAAATACCGTTCAGCCTGAAGTCGGGCTACCGGCTGATCGGTTGAACTCTCTGCCTTCGGGCGGGGAGGAACCCGAACGAGGCTACGCCGAAGGTCGGAGTCTCTTTCGGGGAGGTAAACCGACCCTGAACCCGTTTATACGGGTTCAAGGCATATTTTTGGCCGACCCTACGGGCTTGGAGATCCCACGTTAAACCGGCCACATGATGCCCTCCTGGGGGGGTGGGGTGACTAAATACCGTTCAGTCTAAAGTCTGGAGTGAAGTCCGTCAGAAGTCTGTCAGTCAGTCAGAGCGAGTGAGTCAGTCGAGTCAGAGGCAGTTCAAAAAGAGTCGCGTTCAGACAAGTACTACTAAACCTGATTGTTCGTACTAACACTTCTACTTCACTGTATATATTCCTGTTTGTAATATATCTGTGTTCTTCCATATCCGTATTCGATTTCTTCTTTATTGGTTCTACCTTGGACTATCACTGTGGTAAATGGAACCGGACCGTAACACTTTTATCACAGGGAACTCTCGGGCCAGTGGTTTCCATAATCAAGTCCAGTTATCGGCCGATACATTCACAAGGAACAAAAAGTAATACCTAGCTTCGACCTTTTCCCCTATCTGGTAAAATGGTAAAATATTTAAGGTTGAATCAAACAACCCATTGCTAAACTAATGATAGTGAACTCACTCTTATAATCCCCCTTTTACTGACCTTCGAACATTTTAGTCAGTTCAATATATTTTTCTGACGGTGTAGCCCATATCCCTTTTGATATACACACTACCTGGGGCAACACTTCCTTCTCATTACATCAACTTGACAGATGTCTTAAACCATCCTTTCATGTTCCTTAAACAATTTCATCACACACATCCTGTATCCTCTGGTCCTATAGATTGGGCTTCTGGCTGGACACATTTTCAAAACATTCATTCTACAGGCTATGGCCTCTTGTGCCGTTAATAGCATAAAGTGCCAGATTCATCGCTATATTGCTTACCTCCAATCTATACTTGCCTACTGCTCTTCCTTCTCCTCCTCCTCTGTCTGGATAAGGAACAGGTAAGTTTACTACAACCACTTCAAAACCAATGTCTCTATACAGTAATGGTAGAGATACTACTGCCACTATTTTATCTTCACTAATAAGTGTAGTGCGTCCCAGGGACCCAAAATAACGTCATAAGTTTTACGGTTTGGTTGGCAGTCTAAACTGATAAGCTAACTCTGACTGAATCGTGAGCAACAGATTCACTTTAAATACAATCGGCTCACCGCACTTGGTGATAAATGTCCCAATGACTACAGCTGCTTTCTTTCGTTCCTTCAATGACTTCTAAACTCGGTGGCTTCATTCTTATATTTTTTCTTTGACACTTAAGTCCTTTAGCTCCAGGCAAACCCGACTTACCGTAGAGTCCTCCTATAGACATTCATCACCATGTCTTCGGCTTCCCATCGAGAAAAACTTCCTACATCTTCATCTCCCTTGAAGATCCTTCCATATGCTTCTCAGCTTCCCCATGCCTTGTGGCATTTCTCAGTCTTCTTTCCAGAGGTATATCTCCTTTCACATCATTAGCTATCGCCTCCAGGCGCCGTTTCAATTCTGTTAGCGGGGAGTCTCGTTTTCTTCATCCCATTCATACGACTCTTCGTCTGCAGTACTCCCTTGCTCTTCAGTATCACTTAGTTTTTGATGTATTAGTACAACCTCCATTCCAGAATCATCTTCCTCCAATGTACAACTCAGTTCAGCCAACGCCACTTGCATTACTGGTCTTCCCTTCTCTTTGACCACAGGAATATTCCATTTCTCGATTGTTAATCGTTTTATGTCATTAACATGCACTATTTTCACCTTATTTCTCAATTGATCCCAAAACTTAAAAGTCACCTGCCCTGTTTGCTCTACTATCCTGTAGTACAGCCTCCACTTTGGATTCAGTTTACCTTGCCTCACATGGGCGGCCCTATAGAACACTGGATCATCAACCTCAAATTTCATCCCCGACTTGTTTTTGTTAACCTTTTCATTCCACTTCTTCTTTGCCCTTGAAATTCGATTTCTTGCCTATACAAAGATAGAGTGTTGTTGTTCAATCATAATCCTATGAAAGCCTTCGCACATATATTTTCTTTGAGGTCTCTGGAGATTATCAATTGACAACATAACATCTCTGCCGAACACCATGTAGTTTCATTAATTGAGAATCTGGGAATTGCCAACGCTTGATTCAAGAATAAATCCCATTTCTCATTCTCTCCTTCAGATAGTTTTGCTAACATGTCTCCCAAAAACCTTTGAAATCGTTCTACCTTGCGGGTGATACGGGGATGTGGTAATGTGTAGGATGTTTGAAGACTTTAGAGTCTTCTTCATCAGCGCATTAACAAATTCTCCTCCATTATCAGTGACCAATTCGGCTATTGCCCCCACTCTTGGAAATATCTCATTCAATATTAATTATGCCATTGTCTGAACTGTTTTATCCTTCTCAACATAGGCTTATACCAAATTTTTGAGCATTCCTCTGGACGTTTCAGGATATGGACCTGATACATCCATGCTGACCTTCTCAAAAGAATAAAATGGCACGTCCATCTCCATAATGCTTCCTCATTTTTCGCGCTCCTTGCTTGACACAACTTGTAAAATATGCATTTACATCCTTGTACATTCATAGCCAATAATAATTTCGGCTAACTCATATGTTTTGTCAACCCCTAAGTGTCCCAAATTTTGACGACGCCCTTCTAAGGCTTGCTTTTGGAGAGGTCACCTTGGCACATACAATCTTATTTTCGGATTCTCGTCTATATATGAGATAAATATAGCGTTCTACTTAGGACCACAAACCTCTTGGATTTTTCTCCGGTCAGAGTTCCTTTTTCAACTGCTTTCTTCAGTGCCAGCAGTTCTTAGTCTTTCGAATAATCTCCCATGATTTCTTCACCAATTCCCTCTTTTTCTTCATCGTCATCACTCTAGAGCGGTCTCTTTTCCAATTGATGGGAGTTAATGACGCATATCCAGTAAGACTTGCCATTCATCTCAGACTCTTCCACCATTGATTCTTGTTCTAACCTTTTAAGAATCAGGGAATTATCTTCAATAACTACCGGCATGATCATTAGTTCATCACTTTCATCAACCAACTCTGGTGACAAAGTTACTTGGTACCATAGACCTTATTAGGGGCTTCCAGCCTCCCAATGTTCGCAACTGCCATGCATGGGTGCAATTTTATATCTTCCTCAGACAAGACCTCCATTTCTTTCTTTTACCAAGCAGAATTTCTTCCTTATCCATTCTCACTCTCGGTGGGTTGAAGTAAATTACTGCATTACTTTTTCAACCACTCTCCTCCAATTATCAATTCTCTATCGAGACTGTATGACATATAAACTCTATGAGTCGTTCTTAAGTTGCCTATCTGTACTGACAAGTCCATCGTTCCCAATATTTCCATTTTGCTACGGTCTCCCTGGGAAATATCAATATTTTCAGGCTTCATCTCAGCTTCATCTACTTCAATTTGTTTTAACTCCCTCGAGTTTAATATAGAAAATTCCGAACTTGTATCTCCCAAAATTCTAAGTAAATGTTACCCTACCATAACCTCACAAGTTAACTCCCCCTCTTCGGAGAGTAACTCAAACACTTTGGCTCTTCTTCGTTCCTTATTTCTTAATTCATTCTGGGAGGATATTTTCTTTTTACTCCTTACAATTCTTATTCTCCAATCCCTGGGGTGGTTATTCTTTTTCTCCTCAGAGAATCTTCCTTTCTTCTTAGTTCCTTTTCCTTGGGTCTTCTACTACCCTTAATCTTTCTTGGTTAGGGCAATTCCTAACTACATAGCCTTTCTCTCTACAGCCATAACACTCAGTCCCTTTAAACTCTCTCACCAAGTGACTACTACACCCACACGTCCAACACACCTTTTCTCCTTGGTTCTTCTCACTTTTCGCTGCACTGGAGCCTGCTGGGGCCATCCAACCTCTTCTGTTTCTTCATGGGGTGGCCTGTATTAGTTTAAAGACTTCTTTTGGGTCTGGGGCTTCGTGTCCATACCTTTCTTTCTTCAAACCAGACATTGTCTGCCTGTGTGTGCCCTTTCCGACCACATTTGCAGCACCTCGGCTTCCCCTAATCTGCTGCCTCTGGAGTCTAGCCTTCATTAGTGGGACAGTCCTTCGCCCGGTGTTCCACCCGGCCACACGCAAAACAAACTATTCCCTCAACTCCAGTCAAGTTTGTTATATTCACTTACGCACAAATACCCTTAGGAAAGGTATGAATCCATCCCTTCTCCTCCAAGTTATAGGTTGAATAGCAGGACAGACTGGGTTGGCAACCAGCCTACCGTAGAAAGAAATGGCAACCTACTACGGGAAAAATCTTCTGCATCGTCAGTCATGTATCGAAAGATAAATGATCGCCCAAACGTGTATGGCGCTTAACTGACTGACTGATATGAAGGGTGAAGTCACAGTTGACATCTAGTATGCGTTTATATATTTCCTGTGGCGCAGTTTATTCGAAATTAGAAAAAAGTCAACAACAATGGGATACTTCAAATTCTATTTTTGGTGTTCTTCGTTTATAGTTAAATACATTTTTATTGTTACTTTTTATTGATTCAAGAAATTATCATAAGGAATGAAAAATGTTAAAATATTGTGAAAAGATTATCGATAAACAATGTATTACAATATAGTAATCAAAGATCTAGATGACCAGATATTGACAGGTGATCTCTCCTCTGACCTAGTCCTAACAGCGCAGCCGGGGAAAAATTGGCTGGTCACATGCCTCGAAAACCAAACTAGTATTCAATCATCGCTGATCGGACCCAGAACTATGACCAATCCCAATAAGCGGATGTTCTCTCAGGGAATCCGCGTGCTTTGAGCACCTATTGGAACAAAGAGGCTAGGAAAATGGTCGGCTGTCTGTATCACTCCATTAAGTACCTGACTCCTTGCGTTATCCTATACATTTACAATAGCCAGATCAGGCCGAAAATGAAATACTGCTGCAATATATGGGCAGGAGCTATTCAGTCTTCAATTTCCAGAGTCCAAAAAAGTCTTCGTGTCCTTGTTTGTGACAAATTATTTTCCAACCCCTTTCCCAAAGACGAAACATTGCAAACCTCTCAATCTTTAACGCTATTTCCGTGAAAAAAAATCTTCAGATGAACTTCATTTCTTAGTGTCACCAGTTTTTAGCTTCACAGCTAAGATCCGACATGCCACGGACATCGTAGTGAATCACACTTATTCTCTCCGGAATCCATTGGTGAGGTGTAGGTTCCACTCAAGCAGCTCTTCACACGAGCCGCTGCTCTATGGAACCGACTCCTAAGATGTGGCTTACCTGATCACTACAATTTAAGCTGTTCAAGTCTAGGGTTAACTGTTGCTTACTAGGGTTAACTGCCTCTTACCCTGTAACCCTCTATCTCGAGTGGATCCTGGACCTTGTACAGGGTGATCATTGTAAGAAACAAATAAAAAACAATTTGGAATCACTTTAATAAGAATATTGTTCACTTAAAATATACTATTTATATAAGCTGAGTCATAAAGAGTTTTGGCTTTTGGGAAACAATTATGATTGATATATAACCCTAAAAAATAATAATACGTGGCAGTTAAGAATAAATTTGGTTTATACTAACAGTTTATGCACAGAAGTGGCAGCGTACACAGTGGATTAAAATAACACTGTTGTTCTTCGCCATGAATACGCAAGATTACCTATATAACGGGAAACACGTATGGAACTCGGCTAGTCTGTTCTGCCCAAGACGCCATATTAACATAATCTCCTGCTAACCGTTCATTGCCATTTTCAATCGCTACAAAATGCTAAGATGAGGAAAATCTTCTCTAATTAGAACTAGTCAAGAGCTTGTTGAAAATCTTTTTCACAGCTGAACCTGCAAAATTTTACTTAAAAGGAATCGTCGAAGTGCTTGATAATTGGCAACAAGGAATTGCAAATAATGATGAATATATAATTGAATACAACGTAATTGTTCTTTATTTTTTGAAGAACAAAGTTAATAAACACAAAAGAATTTATTACTCAATGTAATATATTATTCGGTGAAATTACTTAGCCTATAGAATTATTGACTCAACGTATTACAGCATACATATACATACAAACATATATATATATATATATATATATATATATATATATATGTGTGTGTGTGTGTATGTGTGTGCATATGTGAAGATATGATTATAATATATATATATATATATATATATATATATATATATATATATATATATATATATATATATATACACATACATACATACATACGTACACACACACATATATATTTATTTATTTAGGAAATGGATTAAATCCGAAATATTGTTATTTTTAATTTATTTTGTTTAAACGTTATCTTTGCTAAATACTCATATTCGAGTAGAAGCTCTTTTTTTAAAAAATTAAACCGTATTTTTTTTTTTATCTCCCAGCCAGAAAAATCGAGAAATCTTGTCGGAAAAATATGCGTCCTCCTATGCGTGTTCTTGAAATCGGGCATACGCTTGACATTTTCCACAGGCTTTGGAAGTATTTCTCTTTCAGACATCGGCTGAATAACTTCACTAGGATTGGGGATAATTCCGGCTTTATGATCTTAAAAAGAGCCACTGGAATTTTGTCTGGACCAATGGCTTTCTTAGGGTTAAGGCCTTTGATAAAGTCTATAGACCTCGCGCTGTGATGGTAATAGTAATCTGAGATTGTGCTCAGTGAGACGTGGGAACTTGAGGAGAGGATGGTCTTTGTCATCTAGCCTTATCTGTAGAAGAAGATATGACCACGAGGTCATTTATAATTGCGGGCACAACCACTTTACCTCTCCGTTCATGATTTGGTTGGTGATCTTCACAGGACCCAATAAAATGGCGATAATTTTCCCATTGCATCCGATATATATATATATATATATATATATATATATATATGTAATATTAGTGGTCAATATATATATATATATATATATATATATATATATATATATATATATATATATATATATATGTACTAGCAGTAGAGCCCGGCGTTGCCTGGGATATAACAATAAGAGATAGATCAAGTATCGACCACCATAAAGACTGAAAAATAAAATTGACAAAGATTATTGTTTAAGGTTGACGGACACGCATGTCTTAATTAATTTTTTTTTTTTTTTTTTTTACGAATTTGTCAAACCCAAACTCAAAAAAAACATTGTTTTCAATCGTTATGAGTCTCTACCGATTGAATAGAATTTTATAATAAACAATTGTCTTGTAAATGGAATTTTTAAAGCATTCTGAATGTAAAAATAAAGAAAAAAGTGTGCAAGACAATAAGAAAAACTACATGCCAAAAAAAAAAAGTGAAGTTTTGTTGAAATCGGTTGAAAAATGTTGGTAGGCTTTCTGTAATCTTTTAGTTTTACAATTTATGATTTTTACTTATTGAATACAGTAAAAAAAATTGCATATTTTGCTTGTTGTGATTCATAATTAGAATTCTGATTTGAATATATTTTCCACTCGTTGTTTCTAATACAAAAAATATTAACTTTATTTGGGTTTATTAATTATGATCTAACAAATCTTATTCATTTAGTCGCATTTCTCTAACAATAATCTTTTACAATTTATGATTTTTACTTATTGAATACAGTAAAAAAATTGGACACCATGTTTATTTAAAGTAGTTTCCTGTTCCGGTTATTATTTTTAGTTAGGACTTGTGTATGTTTAGATTTCATTATCTTTCTCTAAAGATAAAGAATTTATTCCGATGTTTGTAATTGTACAATCAGTAGAGATCATTAGATTATTGTTTAAGGTTGACGGACACGCATGTCTTAATTTTTTTTTTTTTTTTTTTTTTACGAATTGGTCAAACCCAAACTCAAACATAAAACATTGTTTTCAATCGTTATGAGTCTCCCGATTGAATAGAATTTTATTATAAATAATTGTCTTGTAAATGGAATTTTTTAAAGCATTCTGAATGTTAAAATAAAAAAAAAAGTGTGCAAGAGAATAAAAAACACTACCTGCCAAAAAAAAAAAAAAAAGTTTTGTTTTATCGGCTGAAAAATATAGGAAATCCGCTCCTATATTTAAAGGAACCCACACACAAACAACCCGATGTGAGTTGTCCCCTTCCATTTATACATTATATATATATATATATATATATATATATATATAATAGTGAATATAGAAGTCAACATAGAGTTTCATGCCATATGCAATCGTCAGGCCTGACGATTGCATATAGCATGAAACAGACTGTCGCCTCTAAGTGTTGACTTCTATGTTCATTTTTTATATTTACACACGCTCTATCTCTGATATTGAGCACTTTATCCCATAAATATAGCACACATTAAGACTATATTTCTTCATATATATATATATATATATATATATATATATATATATATATATATATATATATATATATAATCAAACCTAGAGAGCCAGATAAACCTACCAAGGTTTCACCTAAGCGGATCGTCAAAGAAAGTCTGCTCTACTTTTGTATCGAACACTTTTAAGTTAGTTGATTACTCGTATCGGGGTTTTTTTTTTTGGGCTTTGGACCTGTATGCTGTACGATTATTTTTCGGCAGACGTTCATGTTCATAGCTCTTTTTTTAAAACTTTTTTTTCCTTCGAAATTGATTTGTTCATTAGCAAATCAAGAAACCGAAGGTTTTTCGAGACGAGTGTAGTTACCTATATATATATATATATATATATATATATATATATATATATATATATATATATATGAAGGCAATCTAATGCAAAACTGTACAGTGGCCCCACCAAATCTTGGCTTTTGAAGTTCAATCATCTCTTTTTATATGTATATGACAGTAAAAATATATATTCACGAAGACAGCCGCCTATGCGTGCATTTCTGTGCCTGTATTACAAAAGGTCATCATGTACAGTATTAGCCAGAATAGATGAATCACATGTTTTTTTCCCTTTCATTTCTCATCATGCAGTGTTCATTCATTTCGCACGTGATAGTCTCATTTTGATTGGTCAAATTAGATGACAATATTTTTACAATCAGTGAGCATTCCTTTTTATTGCAATAATAATAATAATAATAATAATAATTCAGATAGGATTTAGTTGTGATTAGAATTATGATTTAGCAGTGAATTATAGTGATCAGAATTATAGTGATAAGACTATGCCTGGTATGAGTCAATAATTTTGGCTGCAAAGAAGTCTTCGAGAAAATCATCTAAAGCAATACTAGCTGGTTTACCAAAAGACTGTCACATAGCCAGTCAAAGGATAATCCACAGGAGGTTATTCCGTGCCAATTTAAAGTCTAATAAGAATGCCAAATTATCAAAGAAGAACAGTAGTGAATCACCAATTCTGGCTAATACTGTTCAATACAATAGTTATTGCATCTTTTCTTTTAATTAGTTTTCTTGTGCAACACCACCCGAAAAAAAAAAGAAGGAATAAAATTTACTAAAACCAAACAAACAATATCAAACAACCCAAATCCAGAATTATATATTAAATCATAATCTATATTTTCAAAATCTCCATGTATTATTTTTGGTAATCAGTTACTGCCGGAAATAAAGACGTGAATCCATGGCACGCATATTTTGAAAGACATTAAGAAAGCTGACTTAAGAGCCGATCGGTATTATTCATTGCCGATATAGCCAAGCAACTGACAATTCGCTAAAAGTATGTTAAGCGCATGATTTAGTTGTAGCCAGCGGATTGCTTTAAACTCCTAAGTTGGCAGATGGAAGGAATATATGACGTTTTTAGATTAATGGTTTAGAACGTATCCTCTTGGTAGCATATGAAGACGATTCGGGCGCAAAAAAAAAAAAAAAGTAAAAAAAGAGGATTTGAATTTAGCTAGGAAGTCTCTAGACGAAAATCTTCTGCAATTTTGAGATGAGTCATAGTCATTATTCTGTGTGCTATTTGGACTAGCATTCTCATTTGTGCTTGTCCCCATATTATGTTATTTATTATTTCATGTGTTGCCTGAATATCTGAAACCTGTTATTTAAATCGTAAAAAAAAGAATAAAAAAATTAGCAAGATTTGACTCAAGCTTTTTGAATAGAATTGGGTAGTCGAAACTGTCGATGGTTGTGTTAGCATTACCGAGGCTTTGTAAAAATACTGTGCGCTTTGTGAAAAGACTGTGCGCTTTGTGAAAAGACTGTGCGCTTTTTGCCCATAAAATGTAACTGAAGTCCATCTGCAACAGAGATTGGCTTGCTACTCTAGGAAATGGACATACATTGAAACAGGGGTCAGTTATTTCACACACACATAACTATCTATCTACATGATAAAGAACAAATAGGAAACTTTTAGCAATTTAACATGTTTCATTTTTATTAAAGCTTCATCAGAGAATGAGATATGGAGAGAAAAAAAGAAAGAAATTCTGTTATTTTTATTTTTCTCTCTTCTTTTTTTTTTTACCATATCCCATTCCCCGATGAAATTTTAAAATGTTAGATTGGTAAATATTTCGTATTTATTCTTTATTTTATAATTCGATCCATAAGTATTAATCATTAAAATAGTTCATTATTCATAGATTTTAGAGATTATAGAAGAAGCATTTTCAAACGACATGCAATATAGTCTACAGAATTGATTCAGGCCTTCTATACAAACACAAGAGCTATAGTCTCTCTGGCCGGATATTTACGTTTTTTTCATTTAAGCTTAGAAAAAAAAGTGTCATCTCTCCTTGGCATCATAAATTATATACACGAACGATGCTTAACAAGTTAAATACCCGCAAAGCCTGCTTAACCAATGAAAAAAAAAATCAAACGACACAAAAATAAAAATGACAGAATTTCCTTTTCTCCATATTTCATTCTCTGATGTGGATTGAATGAAAGTGAAAAATATTTTAGATTGCTAAACGTTTCCTATTTGTTCTTTATTTTATCGTTGTCGGATGCCGATCTATATTTGATTCCAACTCACACAAACTACGCACGCACACACACGCGCAAACACACACACACACACGTACATATATGTGTGTGCGTGTATACATATATGTATGTATACACACATATTCATATATATATGTGTTTGTATACATATATGTATGTAATATACACACGTACATATATATATGTATATATGTATGTGTGTCTATATATGTATGTATGTATACACACACACACACACACACATATATATATATATATATATATATATGTATATATGTGTATGTGTGTGTGCGTATGTTGCATGTATGCATGTTTGTGTGAGTTTGGAAGTGGAGAAATGAATATTAAACAGTCTTGCTTGGATAGCAATGATCAACGTCCGTAATATCTGATTTATACCATAGCGAGTCGTGCAGCAAAGCAAAAATATATAATAAAAATAAAATGAAATACCTAAATAAATAAAATTATATTCTCTTTATTTGAATTTGAAACTTTGTTGTTGCACAGATGCTGCGATAATAATTAATAATACCGAAATGAGAATAAAAAAACAGTTTTCCATACCACGATGTTGCATTTGACCTTTCTGTTCAATTGATTGATTCGTTTTCTATGGCTTATGTACGAAATGCACGCTACTTTAAGCCAGAAAATATTTTTCAATGGAATTTTTTTTTTTTAGATAATAATGGTTTAGTGATAAAACGTCTAACTAATTAACCCATAGCTAGGGGAGAAGAGATGGATTCATGCCTACCCCAAGGTCTTGTCCTTTGTAATCAGAGTTGCCCTTCCCTCCACCATTGGCTCAGGCATATACCCCATTTCTTTCTGGGAAAGATTCAAGTGATGTCCTATACTTGTATGAAGATATGTTAAGCATTTTAACCAGAAACATGGTATGCCCGGGTGAGTCCAATTCGGGACAGTCTTCCACTGCTCTTTTACATCTTCTTGCCTTTTTGATCATGTTCTTCAAGTTTCACTACATGCATCTATTCCTTTCCTTTCTTCCTTATAAATAGGAATACACCAGATGTCAGACTAGAATTCAGTAGCCTCCTCAGGATCAGGACGGATTGTGTTCCTTTTCTCACCACTGAAAGTTCAGAAAAACAAATTATTCAAAGGTAGTCGATTGTGTGTGTGGCGAAAGCACACCACTGCAGACACAAACAAGTCCTCGAATCGCGTGCAGACATGTCTGTCAAAACCAGTTTTCCCTCGTTAGCAGCAGAACAGCTTGGCATGTCCTGATACAGACCTCTCTGCAATTTGTCCAGATCCGGGTTTCTGTCAACTGTCTCCTGTCAATAAAAGCGCCGAGGAAAACCAGCAATGAGCAGTTGGCGAGACTAGGTGTTTTGTTTTGTGAAGTCGGTCCCTTGGGCATTAAATTCTTAAAGCTGCAGCTCACCTTGCCGTGGTTTGTGAGGCAGCATTGTTTTTGTTTTCTCTTGTCACTTTCTCCTCTCTGCCTGTTACTCCGTAGTTCTTGGGAGAGCAATCAGGAGTTTTCCCCAACCTCAATACACCCTAACCGTATGTTACAACAATAGAGACTCGTTTTGTCTCAGGATATATCTTCTACTTAATCATCTCATAGCTTATTTCTATCCTTCTTTCTCTGCTTCGGCTTCGTCTACTCACCATGGTGCCGCACACCGATCCTTACAAGGTCGTTTTCGCAATCTCCTGATATCAAGGTTCTCTTTTTCTTTCTTGTTCTTTTCTATCCAGTCGCTCACCAAAACGATACCCTCTTGCATGCAACATTTGTTACGCCAACCCAAACTATTTAGCGCATACCTCAGTGGCTTTCCTGTTCTTGAAGGCAGGCCTTTTGCAATGTTCTGAAGTAGATGATTGAAGTGATTTTAATAATTGAATTACTTAACTTTTTAAAGATAGTAGTTAAAGCTCAGTTAACTGTGTGAATCCCAGTTACCTCATTATAGTTCCAGACCATTTTCAGTTCCCATTTCAGGTCCTAATATTTCTACATTTTCAACTTTTCCCTTTCAGCAACTCAAGTTTCAAAAGAGTATGCTTCGTCTATAATCTTGCAAGATAATCAATACTCAAAAACTACAGTGTCTAGTTTATACTGCCCCTATGTCTTATATGCCTATGTTATCCAACCGTCTTTGGTATTTTTTGTTACTTTTGTGGCCGATGCTCATATCACTTTGCGACGTTTTAAGCAAAATCGCTAGAGAATAAAAAAGAACCGTACCCAATAACAGAAATCACATCATTTGAGGAGTTTCAACAGCAGCAACAACTAAAAAGGATATCACATGTTACTCGAAGAGAAAATAATGACATAACGTATTGACATCACGCACTATTTCAAACAAAAGGAAGTCCCCATCAATACTGGAAAGAGCAATAACATCTATTGGATTTTGGAAAAACCCGGCTCCCTGAAAAATAGTTTTAAATAAAAGATTTTATAAATTTCAATCGAAAGTATCACTGGCTGCACGGTCACTAAATGCAGAATGTTTCCTTATAAGGAAACGGCTACTGTTACCATTACCAGTAAGCAAAGTTCTGCACTCTTTTTCTTTGTTTCAAACAAAGTATTCCCATCTGAACTCTTACGTAATATCCATCCTCATATATGGCGGTGAATGCGGGACAATTTACCGTACAGATGGAGAGAAAAATGGAGGCAACAGAAATGTGGCTCTACAGAAGGAGGCTGAGACTACCCTTAGAGGAGCGCGTAAGCAGCGAAGAGTAAAATGCAAACAAAAAGGATACATACTCAGAATTAGAAAAAAAGCCAGCTGAAGAGCAGCTTGAAGAATCTGATACTCACAGAACATATCGAAATTTAAAGGATAGGTGAAGGCAGAAGACTAACTACCCGATGAACATGTGTGAATGGACGGCAGGACGGGGTATTGGAGGCATGCCAAAGCGACAAACTTTGCTAACAGCAATAAGGGATAGGAGGTCATGGAGAGCTATGATTGCCTACGCCCTGAACAATTATGGCATATATAAGTAAAAGATTAAGCAAAGTATTAACAAGTAGGACATTCTTGTTAGAAACGAAGAAAAGGCTTCTGAACTAATATGTCAATCCTCTTGTAAAGCTGTGAATGCTGGACAGTATACTTATCGATGAAGAAGAAATTCAAAGCGACTGCAGTGTGTTGAGAATAGCATGGACAAAACATATGCACAATGAGGAAGTTCAACAGACAAAGGGAAGTAGAAGAATACTTGTACTTAAAATCAGAAAGAGACAGTTGAAATTTCTGGGACACCTCATGAGGAACGAGGGCTTGGAGAATTTAATACTGACAGGACATACTGAAGGAAGGACGTCGAAAAAGAAACAGCAAGTAAACTAGCTAATGAATTTGGGGGATAGATAACAAAATGGAAACAAAGAATGGATGAAAGCGGAAAACGTTGCTTAAAGCTTTAAGGGAGACGAAGTTGTGGTGAGCCATGATCACTCACGTCCTTCAGTATCTGTCTATGTTTCTGAGATGAGATATTATGTACATTATTTACATTATTCTAGATCCACGTGCCATATTTAATGGGTGTCAATTATCAGTTATCTCCTGTTAATTTCCCTCTGAAAGTTCTCCACTGCCTCAACCGGGTATTGAACTCACATTTTTTGGGTCCTCTCACTGGACACATGGCACAGTCTACCCCAGTGAGAAAAATAATGGGTTCAGTTCGATATTCTAACCACCTGAAGAAGGCTGGAGCGTACAACAACCGAAACGTTGTAATAAATATTGCGACAAAAATGAGGACAATAGTCAAAATAATGTAAATAATGCACCCACGTCCTGTATATATATATATATATATATATATATATATATATATATATATATATATAAAAGTGAACATAGAAGTCAACATTTAGAGGCGACAGTCATGAAAGAGACTGCCGTCTCTAAATGTTGACTTCTTATGTTCACTTTATATTTTACAATACACGCTCTATCTCTGATATTGAGCACTTTATTCCATAAATATAGCACACCTTAAGATTATATATATATATATATATATATATATATATATATATATATATATATATATAAACGAATATAAATTAAGCAGTTACTTCTTGATTTAGATATTTTGATCATGTTAGCATTCTTCTGTATCCTATAACCTTGGCCCTTCTTAAATAATGTCTTGATTTGATCGATGCCAACCACAACAGCTTTACCCGGCCGTAGAACATCGTTCGGAAAAATATCCAGTATAAATCTTCGCAATCCACTTTATACACGTTCGATATTTTACAGTACCTTCTCCATAAATTGGACGATTTGTTTTCGAGTTTGAATCTCATTTTACTCAAATGCCAAAATAATAGAGCAAGCAAGAACTTGGGTTCTTTTCTTTCATCATTCGTCTAAGAATCAAGAAACGAAATAATATTGACAATTTTTAAATGAAGGCAAGCTGATATAACAGCTGATAATAAAATCAAAATCGATATTACGTGATGATTTACAAAAATGATGAAAGATGAAAATCGATAGCTGATAAAAAAAAAAAACGCAAACTGCCTATCACCAATCGCGATTCAAAGGATTTCTTTTAACTTGGAGGCTTCACATCAAAGCTGGCGGAAATGACTCTCATTGCTTGACTTTTATCAATATTATCAATAAGTTGCATATCTCCACGGCAGGGGCGTCAGTCAAAGATGTCTTCTCCCCAGATTTATTCAACCTCTACAGTAAGACTATCCTAAGGGATCTATTATTGGTGCGCGTAATCTTAACAGTATAAGATACGCAGATGACATTGTGTTGATGGTTGACACAGAAGGAAAACTAAAGGACTTGTGAGACAAGGTAGTAAGAAAATAGCGAGATTAAAGTGACTAAAAATCAATTGCAAGATAACAGAAAATATGGTCTCCAGCAAGAGGAAAATCCCAAGATGTGAGTTATAAATTAGAGATGTCAACATCAAGCAGTTACAGACGTTTAAATATCTAGGAAGGGTTTGAACAGAGGATTGGGAAATGTGAGACCGAAATCCGGACACACATTGGACAAGCAAAACAGGCATTCCAAAAAGGTTAGCAAAATGCTGAGAAACAGGGGAAAAAAGCAACAACATAAAACAGAGGGCTGGATTACTATGTGATATCCATCCTCCTAATATGGCAGCGAATGCTGGACAATCTCCCCACTGACAAAAAGAGATTCTTTAGAAGGATAATGAGTATTCTATGGACGGAGCGAGTAAGCAACGTGGAAGTCTTAAAATAGACAACAAAAAAAGCACTTATGATCAGAAAGAGACAGTTGGAATTTCTTGGACACAAAGGGTTTGAAAAAAATTTTCACATAGCATACTGCTAAGGGCCACAAGAGACAAGAAATTCTGGAGAGTCATGATCGCCCATGTCCTGAAGGGACGCGGCACTTAGAACAAACCAACTGTTCAGAATCTTTCGATATATACACCCACAAAAATATCAAGTCCGAAACAAAGTAAACTATTTTGATACGTTTGATGATTTATTATACCTTTTCCTAAACAAGGTATATATATAAAGACATTTTTATGTGTAACATTCTTTTTATAGACACAAATATTTAAGTAAATGCTCCGTTTTTCTTTTTATAATAGAGTATTAAACAACATTTACCGGCCTGAATGCCCGAGAAATTTTCACAGAAAATATTCGTCCTCCGACAGGATTCGAACCTGTATCCTATTCGGAAACGTCATTTAGATTGACGTGCCTTTACCGATTTGGCCACGAAGGGGCGTTCGGTTAGCACAGTCGAATTTACTGTATTTAAACTTCAATCTTCCATGAATCTCTCACGTACATTCATGTCTGCTCATGGCGTATCAAATGTAAACAAATGACGTCACACATTATATATATATATATATATATATATATACAGTCTGTCTGTGGATGACAATATATATATATATATATATATATATATATATAGGCAATTTTTAAACAAAGCGGGATGTCACTAGTACGCAAGGGGTTACAGAGTGGGAGCGAGAGTAAAGAGGCGTGATGGAGGAAAGGATGAAGAGGACAGGGAATAGGTCAGGGCATCTAGAGATGTCGACTGACATTACATTTGAATAATTGGAGATTATAGCTATCAGGGAAAAAAGTAATAGGAATTTCACAGACGGGAGGTGCGAGACATGAGGCTATTGGAGTAGAAGAGACCGCCACATTTCACCGTTTTGACAGTGAGAGTATGGGACCGTGATGCCAGCCTGCAACACGCTTAAATTCATGCAGTCTGGGAACCAGCGAAAGTAGCTCGTCGGAGCAGTTACCGTGATAGTATTTGTAGAAAAGACAGAGGGAGGCAGCGGCACGTCTGTGAGAGAGTGACTGTAGACGAGATGCCAGATCAGGACCAACAACATTGCTTATCCGTCTCTGTATGTTGTCGAGGACCTCAAGGCGAACAGTGGGGGCACCAGACCATATATGACAGCAGTATTCCATTCAAGGGCGAATTGTTGATTTATAGATTTGAAGGATAGATTCAGGCGAGAAAACCTTTTTGCCGCGGCACAGGGAACCAATTTTCCTTGCGGTGGATAAAGTTATTGATTCAATGTAATTATTCAATCTCAGGCCAGCGTACAGTGAGATCCAGCACTCGCAAAGAGGTGCTCTCGTGGAGTTGAGCATCGGCTTTATTTTGATCTTGGCTGGATGGGTGCTATCACTCCTTCAGGTGAAATTGGTTGTCCCATGGTGTACGACACCATTCATAATTTTATTTTTTTTAGTCTTTTCTGG